TCTCTCTCGCATCTTCGTCCGGCGTGGAAATTCAAAATTACGTAATCCAGTACGAAGCGCGAAACAATGAAGACAATAGCGACCCAGGAACGGCAAACAAATCTCTGCAAACCGAGGGGACTCGTGCGTATCAAACTCGATTCATCGAACATCTGTTCTCGAAATTCTGCTGGCAAAACGAAAGAGAGATAAGTCAAAATAAGTCAAAATCGGCAGATGCCGTAACAGATTCTATCGCGACTGATTAACACCAGCAATTGAATCGAAAAGACGAAGAATGAAAGTAAAAGAGAGATCGAAATAAGAAATTTTGTACGTGGAACATAATTGCTCAATATTCTCAGAATTAATCAACTAAAAAAAAATCTTTGAATCAGTAGAGAATTGAAATGTATATATGTTATTAAATAATAATTTATCAGTAGGATACGACAAATTTATTCTAATACTTTTTTCATATCCTTTTAGGAATATTTAAAAATATTGAACTCAAATAAAAATTGGATAGCGTTAACTTTAATATTTAAAATTAATATGACATATTTCATTATTTATAATAAAAAAATGTCATAAAAATTTGAAAATGTCTACTTGATAATATTTCTAGAGTAATTTCTCAAAAGTATAAATATATTTAGAAGTTATGTACAATTTTCGAACTAATAAATAAATATAGAAGATTGAAATCAAGATAAAGATCGTCAAAGCAGCAGAAAAGGAAAGATTATTTTGAAACTGAAGATTGTTAGAAAGCAAATTAGAAGAAAATGAATATCAATTGTGTCAATGAAAATTGATCAAAAAATTAAATCGACAATTTCTGCGATTGAAAAAAGATTCAAGATTTTTTTCTTTTCGACTGAAAAAGACTGAAAGTTCACAATTTTATAACAATTTCGAACGAAAAGGAGCATAAAACTTGTATATAAAAGAAGATGAAATATTTTTCTCCAACAAAAAACTTTTTATGTAAAAACAAGTTTATCATCAAATTCATCGAATATGATTTTACTTTAGGATATTTTTTTCAAATTGTGAAATACGATTTTAAAATCATTGAATGGGGTGTTACATCAAATCTTTTATTTTTATCGATAAAAGCATTAAAATCAACTGTTAAATTCTAACTGTTACTTTGATATAGTTTTCAAAAGGAATGTGTGTGCTATCAAATACAAAGAAAATATAGATCCGATGATAGATTCGATAATAGAAATAATTATTATGACTTCTAACAAAATAGAATACCAATTTTATTTTGCTAAAATTGTATAACGTATTTGATACGACGAAAAGTTAACGAACCTTAAAAAAGATTGATTTCATTGTCAGACCCTGATAATCCTTTAGATTATTTTCTATAGAGAAATATATGTTAGCAAAGCTCAAAGATTATAAATAAATACAATTTAAAGAGTAATTTAAAGCCATTATTCACAAAACCTTGAACAACAAATTACAGGCTATGATGTGTGTCGCATAGGAAAAATTTTGAAACGCACCTCAAACTAATATTAGATGATCCATGGATGATGTAATAAAAGACACTACTATTTTAAAAAAGCGCAACGAATCAAAAGTCTTTGACAGGGATTTTGCGCGATTTTTCACGCCCACGCATCGAGAATTGAGCCGCGTCTCGATCCTCTCCATGTCCATCTCGCCTTTGGCGATCTCTGAAACGTCATCTGCGATCATAAATCTCAAGGAACTCAACACCAATCATCTTCCTTCGAGTTAGGTTCGCTGAAACGAGGTGAATGAGCAACATATCTTGGTTACTATCGTCCTCGCACGACAATGGAGCTTCGTCGAAGGCTTTGTCGATGATCGATAAGCTACCCAGTGCATGTTCGTCTCTCTCTCTCTCTTCTTTTTTTTTCCCCTCTTTGTCTTTGTCTCTTTCTAAATGATCGGCAAAACATGCAAAGCAGAAAAAGAGACGCGTTCTCGATAGACCCGATATCAATCCCCACCGAAAATATGACGGATAATCATTAGCGATCATTGTGGAATATCGAGAGAAATAAGCCACTCTTCTTCTAAAGCAAAGATAATCATTTACTATCCGCTAAATCATCGATATCTATTTTTTTATTTTAATTTCTGATTTCTACTTTTGAGGTTTCAGCATTCTACTTTAAGACATCTTTCATCATACGAGCGTGTCTAGAAATATTACTTCTTTCATTTCCAACATAATTATTTTTTATAACTATATTTCTTTTCCTCAAAAAAGCCAACGTCAAATCAGTGTTATTTGTAGACTGTGTAGTGAATGATTAACGCTTATTCGCATCTCAGTCCGAAGTAACACGATTGCCGAGCAACATTTGTCGACAATCTTACGACGTGGCGAACGACTGTCATTCTTTGTTGTCAATCATAACTGTATAGCTTATTTCATATTATTATGTATCGATACGTATATTTTTTTCATTTTTTAATTTTAGTAGAGCATTACAAAGCGCTACTTGCTTTACGCTATTTATTTTTAAATATTGTAAATTTTTAATTTTTAATTTAATATAAACTTAATATTAATCTTGAACTTTAGTAGAGTAAGTTTATTTACATTAGATTGAACTCAAAATATATTGCGACATCCGCTTGCAATTTGAAGCCGCGAACATCGAGATAAAAATGGCCAATGAGCATTGCGACAAGAAAGCAACAATAAATTATCGATTATCGTTTGACATACCTTTTCGCGAATAAAAATATAAATGGATGTTGCGCATATTTGGATTGTTGTACATCTAATGAAATTTTTACATAGACGTTTTGTAATTATTATACGACAAACAATTACCGATAAATAGTCAAGTGCCGGCTTACATAATCCGACACGACAAACCTGTCAAAAGGATCGACGGATCGATCGTATTTTATTTTTAAATATGGGCTTTACTGTATTGCAGGGATGGCTGGTGGTATGGGACAAGCCGGAATGGGCTCTTATTATAACCCTGCAGCAGCTTACGGCCCGCTCTCGGCGGCTAGCATGGCTGCAGCAGCGGCAGCGGCTGCACAACAATCGGCCGCCATGTCTGGTCTCACGGCACCTGCTCAGGTAAGTTGATAATTCTTTTTAATACAATCAATATAAATAAATATATATATATATATATTTATATT